CCGCCATAGGCACGGGCCTAGCTGGCCTCTTATCCTAATACGGCTCTGATTGTGAGATCAATAATTCAAAAATCTGCCCGAGAAGGTGTGTTTTTTTGCAGGGTTGTTAAAGTTACCATTTTTTAGTAACGCGTTATAGTTACCGTTATTTGCGGTAAAAAGTAATTCGTTACTCTTTACTCGTTACCGATTCTGAAAGTAAAGCGTTATTGTCACATAAAGTAACGGAAAAATCGTTACTTTTTGCTATTTTAAAAAAATAATTGCATTTACGCAAATAATAGCTACATAAGAACAAATCGTTTTTTAATATATTTATGTATTACTTTATTAGTTCTTCATTTGCTCTTTAATATGATACTCCTTAATATATACATATTTAAATTTGTACATATATCTTAACTTTAAGTTATAAATAATTTGTATCGCTAAATCTGGAATTTTTGTTTAATAATAGAGATAACTGTTGCTCAATATGTCCGTTTGTTAGGGTGTCGTCAATTTTGGGTTTTGTACTTTGTACCAGCGGGAGTTCTGATTAACCACTGCTTTTCCGCTTTCTGCTTTTCCGTCAAGGCGTAAACGCGTGCTTATTAAAATAACCTTATAATAACAAAAAAAGACGTAAAATTTTGTTATTAGTTCCTGAAAATTGTGATTTAGTTATCATTACTGTTACTCATTAGTAAAAGTAACTCCGTTACTCATTCGTTACTAAAAAAGTAATGAAATTAGTAACTTCGTTGCTTTTTTATTTAACGTCAGCAACCCTGATTTTTTGTACCAGTCAAAAATTAGACTGTCACTCTTTTAAAGATTAGTAGTGTCTCAAAAATTAATGGTATTACCCCTCACATCCATCGTAAACTGCAGTTTCTGGTGAAAAGAGTTGAATTTTTCCAAGATGCTATCCACCTCAGAGATGGGCGGTAAACATAGTACCATATCATCGTCGTACCTGCAGTAGAAAAGCAAAAGGAATTCAATGGAACTCAGCACTCGATTTTCTAAATCTTGTTACATGACTGTCAGCAATAATAGGTGATAATGACGAACCCATTGGAGTACCAATAGTCTGTTTATATATTTGATCATCGAAAGCAAAGTAAGTAGAATACATACTTAAGTGTCAAAATTAAGCCTTTAGAAATTCATCTTTCGGTATCTTGCAATTATTTTCAATGTAAATGCAACTACTAGAAAGTCCATAGCTAAATCTACCGGAACATTTGTAAATAAAGATACAACATCTAGCGAAAACAAGCTAAAATCTGATCAAACTTGGATATGATAGGATATTTTGATAGGACATAAAAATTAATAAAAAATCCAATTGTAATTATAAGACTTCTACTAACAAGGTTAAAAAATAACAAATTAGATCGAAGGTTCACAATTCCTTTCATCAATAGAATATCTAATAAATAAATTCTGCAACTGTACTAATTGTCTGTTTTATAAGGTGGTTGCTCATTATAATATCAATAAACTTAACAAATATATAAGAGTACACAAAGATCCTTTGCAAAAGTTATCCAAAAGGAATGTGGTTTACAAGATCGAATGCCGATTGCGATGCTTCCTATGTAGACCAAACGGGAAAAAAACTAAAAACGAGATTAGCAGAAAACCATAACCATACACGTAGAGTTACATCCATTCATTCAGTTATCACAGAGCATAGGGTACAATCATGACATCAACTGGGATAATGACAGAATTCTGGATATTGAGAGAAATTATAATAAACGATTAATGTCGAAGATACTCTACATAAATCGTTAATCAAATGATTTCAACATTCAAACTGACACTGAGGCATGCATTAATAATGGTTAAATAGGAACTTACTACAAGTTATAATATGTGTATTTTTATAATTGACCGACACGCTCCTGTTCTCACTACACTTCACTTTTTGTTTTTAACGGTTATTGTATAATCGACATCGTAACAAACATTACTGTCTTTTTTGATTCTTAAATTATTTTTAATCTAACTTTGACAATCGTCAATCATAAATTTGTTTAATTGACGATGTTTGGATCTGCGTGCGATCGTTGTTGGAAGTTGGGTGAGTTTTGTCATCATTTATAAATAACATAAAATCAATCTTCATCTGTTCAAAAAATCTTGATACAAATAATATCTTGAGATCCACCATTTGCTACACTCAGCTTTACAACTGGTTGTCACAACATCAGACTCTGTTGAGGATGGTGGTTTCTCACCGCATTTGCACTACTGCAACTGCATAATTGGAGGGAATTGCGATTTTGCGATACAGAGTTCGACATTTAGTGCGATTAGCGATGATTGTTATTGCTGAGGCTGACTCAAAACATGAGCCGAAACGTACAAATTTGAATTGTTATTCACAATTAATTTTTGTGCAAGATAGTACTCAGCGCAGACTCCTAATGTCCACTTGAATTTCGCTGCAATAATCTATTGCCGAATGGTCTCTACTAATAATTCGCTGCATCTAAATCCCTCTAAACTCTAAATCATCCTTGCTTATTTTCGGTTTCTCAACATTATTATCTCATATTCAATCCTTCCATATTTTTCTTAATTCCGTTCCAATTCCTCGCTCCACCTCTATTGAGATTCTTGGTATCCATGTTGAATCTTCCTATTCGTCACACGTGGCCGTCAAGTGTGACGGGCTGCATACGCTTGTATACTTTATCTTCCTTATCCCCTTCGCCACATCCTTTCCTGCTCTCAGAAATTCCTCACTTCTCATTTAAGCGTTATTTCCCTATTTGATTTGGCCGATGTTTACGTTCGGGCTCTTAATCAACAACTTCTCTTATTGCTTCAGTAAATACGACCATACATCTCCGTATTACCAGAGATTCGGCTGGCTTAGAATGTGGCAACATTTTATTCTCCACCTATGCTGTCTAGTTTTTTCCTCTCCTTTGGTCCAATGCTCCCTTATATCTGCGACGCCTACGTCAATTAAACTCTGAGCTTCATTTCACTTTTAACCCCTTGTAACCAAATACCAAAATTACTTATCCTTCCCGTTTATCGTTCCACTAAGTTCCGTGCTGCTTTCTCCTACCTCAGCCAAATATTGTAATTCTCTATTAATAAAATATATTAATAAAAACTATATTAATAAAAATAACTATATTAATAAAAACATCTCTCTCTTTGTCTTGCTTTCGTTTTGCTGCCTCGCGTTTCATCGCGTCACTTACAGTATTTAAACGAGACTGAAATAACTGGTATATGTAGGTGCTTGTGTGTGTGTATGCGTGAGTATGTATATGATTTTAACTATTGTTTCACCACTCATTCTGTCGTTACTTAGTCGCGGTTTTTTGTTTTGCTATAAGGCTTTGTAATAGCAGATTTGCTGACGCCTAATCCCATTCGCAAGCTGCTATAGTTTTATCTAACATATTATATATTTATGTTTATTGCTCTGTTAGCATGTAATCTTTTCCACAACAAT